TGATAACACTGATAATAATTATAATAATAACCAGAATGTTATTCATAACAAAAAATAACTAATAACAATGAAAATAATTACAGTAATGACAGTGATAGTGATAACAGTGATAATGATAATGAGTATAGCAATAATAATGATGGTAATTATGTGGATGGTGATGATGGTCATAATAATGACAGTAACATAATGCTGACAGTGATAATAACTTTGGTAATATTGATAATAAAGATAATGATTATGATGAAACTAATAATAGTAATAATAATAATGACAACAAGAACAATAATAATGATAATGATAATAATAATAGTTATAATGATAATAATAATGATAATAATAATAGTAATAATTCTAACTAATAAAAATGATAATAATGATAGTGATAATAAAATAATGATAATCTTGATAATAATGATGACAATAATAATGATGATGATGATGATATTGATGATGATGAATAATAATATAATAATGATAACAATAATAGCAATAATAAATAATTATAATAATATAATAATAATAATAATAATAATAATGATGATAATAATATAACAATAGTAATGATGATAATGATGATATGATGATGACGATAATAATAATAATAAAAATAATAATAAATAATGATGATACTACTACTAATAATAAGTAATAATGATAATGATAATAATAATAATAATAATAATAGTTATTATTATAATTTTAATTTCAATTATAATTACAATGATAATGATAGGGAATGATGATATTTATAATAATAATGAAAATAATGAAAACAGCAATAATATAATGATGATAATAAATGATAATGATAACAATAATAATAATAATGATAATATAACAATATTTATAATAATAATAATAACAATAAGAAGGATGTTAATGATGACGATGACAATGATAAATGAAAATAATAATGATAATGATTATAATACATATATGTGTGTGTGTGTGTGTGTGTGTGTGTGTGTGTGTGTGTGTGTGTGTGTGTGTGTGTGTGTGTGTGTGTGGTGTGGTGTGTGTGTGTGTGTGTGTGTGTGTGTGTCTGTGTCTGTGTCTGTGTGTGTGGGCGTGGGCACTCTCAAGGCTACGGCGCCCATCCTCTACGCCGCCCACCGATATGCAAGCCGCCCACATGGCTTCTAAGAAACTCGACAAGCCTTCTTTAGACATGGCTTGTCGAGTTTATTAAATTTATTACTTCACGATTTCTCTATTAATAATAAAAAATCTATTAATAATAATGATGATTGATGATCATGATGATAACAGTACTAATGTTGAACAATGATGATAAAAAATGTTAATAGTAATAAGAGGATAATTATAATGATGACAATGATAATGTTGAGCAATAACACTATGATGAAAAAATGATAGTAATGATAATATTAATTAGATAATTATAATGATAACAATGATAATGTTGAACAATGATACTATGATAAAAAAGATAATAGTAATGATGAAATTAATAAGAGGATAATTATAATGATAATGATAAGAACTATGATAGTGATATATATGATCAACACCTATATGTGATTAATACATATGATTAAATATATGATTAATATGAAGAAGAAAGAAAATGAAAGATGATTATAAAGTGTAATGACTTTTTTTAAAGGGTTTGAACTTATCCTTTAATGGTAAGTAAAGGGAAAGAGAGATAGGGAGGAGGGTAAGGGAGGGAAGGAGAGAGAGGGAGAAATGGAATGGGTAAGGGTGAGGATAAGGGAGAAAAAATGTAAGGGATAAAAAGAAAAAATAGTGAGAAAAAAAAAGACAAAGTTGGCAAGATTTGAATGATGAATGGATGAATAAATAATTGAAGAAATGAATAAATAAATAATAAAATATATGAATAAATAGATTAATTAATTCATAAATAATTGAATAAATTAATAAATTAATAATAAAATATATGAATATATAGATCAATTACTTCATAAATAATTGAATAAATGAATAAATTACATAAGTGAATATACGAATAAATAAACAGATTAATTAATTAGAAAATAAACGAATTAATGAATGAATAAACATAAAAATAAACATAAACAAATCAAGAGGTAGATGAATAAACAAAAAAATATTTGATTAAATACATAAATACATGAATAAATAAATAACAAAGAAAATATGTATGAAAGATATATACATACATACATATATAATATATATATATATATATATATATATAATATATATATATATATATATATATATATATATATATATATATAAATGAACCGAAATTTTAGAGGAAATTATTAGTTTATTTTCCCTCGATTTCTCCCATTTTCCCGTTTTTATTTCTTTTTCCGTGTTTTCGTGTTATTTTTTATTTTTATTATATATTTTTTTTTAGTTTTTCAGTTGTTTCCGATTTTTTATTTTTATTTTTCCGTTTTCCGCCCCCCCCTTTTCGCTTTTTCGTTTTTTCCCGTTTTCCCTCGTCCCCCCCCCCCTCGTTTTTTCGTATTTTTTTCAACAGCCGGTTAAGAAAGGGAAGAACAAGACTTGGAAAAATGAATCCGAATTTTTTTTTTAAAGTGGATCTCAAACCCCCACTTGCTTTCTTACATTTCATTATCGTAATAAAATTAGTTTTAAAACAAATCCTGAAATTACTTTAAACACCATTTTTTTATCATTTGTGGAAGAGGAAGAAGGAAAAAAAAGGAGAAATATGGAAGGAAAGAGGGAAGAAGAAGGGAAGGGAGGAAGGGAAAAGTGTAAGGTAAAGGGGAAGAGAGGTAGGGAGAAGGATGGAGGATAAGGGAGGGAAGGAGAGGGAGAGAGAAAGGAGAGAGAGAGAGTAGGGAGGGAAGAAGAGGGAGAGAGAAAGGGAGAAGAAGAGGAGAGAGAAAGGGAGTAGGAGAAAGGGGAGGATAAGGGAGGGAAGGAGAGGTAGGGAGAAGGAGAAAGGGTAAGGGAGAAAAAGCTAGGGGGGGGAGGGAGACGTGGCAAGGGTAGAGAAAAAAGGAAATGGAAGTACTATGGTTATCGTCATCATCTTCATTACCATCTTAATCATCATCTTCACTATCATCACCTCAATCATCATCATCATCATCATTATCATCTTAATCATCATCTTCACTATCATCACCTCAATCATCATCATCATCATCATTATCATCATCATCTTCACTATCATCACCTCAATCATCATCATCACCTTCATTATCATCTTAATCATCATCTTCACTATCATCATATCATCATCGCATCTTCATTATCATCTTAATCATATCATAGTATCATCATCTTAACCATCTATTTATTAGGAATATAAATAGCTCATAATGCGGAATAGATAAATAAACTAATAAAAAAATGGAATAAGCTCAAATACAGATTAAAAATTATGAATAAGAAGACATGGCATCCTTCGCTTTCTTTGCATGAATGAAAAAAATATAAATATAAAAAACATAAAAAAAAAAAATATGAAAAGATACAAAAAGATACTGGTTACAATGACAGTGTTGGCTGCAATGTGGAACAAATTGCAACTGGAACAACGAAGGGAAGAACAAGAAATATATGGGCCTATTTGTGTGTTTTCTTGTTCTTTCTTCGTAGTTCCCTTCGCTGTTCCTGTTGCAATGAACTAGCTGCAGTGAATGAAGTACAGTGATGATAAAAGACATAGTAAAAAAAAATAAAAAAATAAAAAAAATAAATAAAAACAAATAAATCAATAAATAAAAAATAACGTAAATTGTAGAATCACATCTTAACTACCGCTCTTTGTAGAAAAAAGAGGAATAATACAAAAATAAATCAAAAAGTATTTTTCTTTCTCATAGTAAGATAAAAAAACACTGAAAACATTATCAATAAGGTCGGAAATGATTAAGAAAACAACAATAATAATGATCTTTCTTTTTCCATAGAAAGGAAGAAAGTATTATGAATAATAATAGCATATAAATAATAAAAACAAGAATAGTATTATGAATATAAATAGTATATAAATAAGAGAAAGGAAGAATAGTATTAAAAATATAAACAGTATATAAATAAGAACAAGAAGAGTATTATGAATATAAATAGTCCTTGCGGGTATTAAGTGTAATTAAGCGAATGAATTAATTAATTCAATTTAATATGAAAGACAACATTATCTCTTCCTCTTTCACAGTGAGAAAGATTTAAAAAAAATAGTTAATTGGGAACGTGATGCTGTGTTCTTGTATTTTTTTTTTTAATATGAATGATATCAGTAATAATGAGGATGATTTTGATGAGATTAATTATGGTATTCATGATAATTAGAAATAAGATAATTATAATAGCGATAAAACTATCACCACTGTTGCTGCTATTACTCCTACTTTATCCCTACTACTGCTGCTATTACTAGTACTATTGCTGATATTACTACTGGGCCTGCTGCTACAGTTACTACAATTGCTACTATTACTACTACTACTACTACAATTGCTAATACTACTATTACTACCACCGCCACTACACTCCTCCTCCTCCTACTACTCCTCTTACTCCTACCCTACTACTACTACTACTATTACTCCAACCCTTACTACTGCAGTACCACTACTCCGACTGTCCCCACTACTACCACCACCACTCATATTACAACCCCCACTCCAGCCCACCTCCACCTCCTCCTCGTAATATTAATAAAAAAAACTCCTTTTCACAGTGAACAACTCCACCACCTCCACCTCCTCCTAATAAAAAAATCCTTTCCACAGTGAACAACTCCACCACCTCCACCTCCTCCTAATAATAAATAATAATAAAAAACTCCATTTGACAGTGAACAACTCCAACCCACCTCCACCTCCTAATAGTAAAAAAAAACTCCATTTCACAGTGAACAACTCCACCACCTCCACCTCCTCCTAATAATAATAAAACTCCATTTCACAGTGAACAACTCCAACCTACCTCCACCTCCTCCTAATGATAAATAATAATAAAAAACTCCATTTCACAGTGAACAACTCCAACCAAAGATGGAAGTGGTGGAAACTCTGGTCGCCGTGGCTCTCGGGGTGTTGGCAGCTGTGTTCCTAGGGTCGTTGGCGGCACTGGCTCTCCTGTGCTACCGGAGGGCCAGCAGCACGAAGCAACATCAGCTGTTTTCCAATCCGGATATGAGGTGAGGGGTTTTGAGGGGGGTGAAGTGAGGGTGTGATGGGGTGGGGTGAGGGGGTGTAGATTTTTTTTTGGGGGGGTGGGGGGGGGGGGGTGAGGGTGGTGGGAAGGTTGTTGGTTGATGGGGGGAGGGGGTGTCGATGAGTTTGCTATTATTATTATTCTTAATGAGTTTTTATTTTCATTTCCTTTCTTCCTTTTTTTTCAAACTACTTTTTATCATTGTATTTTTCTGCACATCTAGATATAATTTTTTTTTTTTACTGCTTTCTTATTATATATTTCATAAAGAAAAAACAACAACAATAAATTAATCTACTTCATCACCTTCATTTACTTCACCTAACCTTGAATTGACCTTTCTTGACCTCTCTATTTATCAATGAATCAATCCATGTTTTACATCTACTTGCCTCATTTACTCCAAACAGACCTGAAGTTGAACTGACCTCTCTATTTACATCTACTTGTCTCATTTACTCCAAACAGACCTCTCTATTTACATCTACTTGTCTCATTTACTCCAAACAGACCTCTCTATTTACATCTACTTGTCTCATTTACTCCAAACAGACCTGAAGTTGAACTGACCTCTCTATTTACATCTACTTACCTAATTTACTTCACACAGACCTGAAATTGAATTGACCTCTCTTGACCTCTCTATTTATCAGTGAATCAATCCATCCTTTACATCTACTTGTCTCATTTACTCCAAACAGACCTCTCTATTTACACCTACTTGTCTCATTTACTCCACACAGACCTGGAGTTGAACAGACCTCTCTATTTACATCTACTTGTCTCATTTACTCCACACAGACCTCTCTATTTACATCTACTTGTCTCATTTACTCCAAACAGACCTCTCTATTTACATCTACTTTCTTATTTACCTCCAAACAGACCTCTTATTTACATCTACTTGTTCTCATTTATTCCACACAGAACCAACTGACCTCTCTATTTACAACTTGTCTATGAACTCCAAACAGACCTCTCTATTTACATCTACTTGTCTCATTTACTCCAAACAGACCTCTCTATTTACATCTACTTGTCTCATTTACTCCACACAGACCCTGACTCTCTATTTACATCTACTTGTCTCATTTACTCCAACAGACCACACTGACCTCTCTATTTACATCTACTTGTCTCATTTACTCCAAAACAGACCCTGAAGTTGACACTGACCTCTCTATTTACATCTACTTGTCTCATTACTCCAAACAGACCTCTCTATTTACATCTACTTGTCTCATTTACTTCTCTCTATTTACATCTACTTGTCTCATTTACTCCAAACAGACCTGAAGTTGAACTGACCTCTCTATTTACATCTACTTGTCTCATTTACTCCAAAACAAGACCTCTCTATTTACACTACTTACCTCATTTACTCCAAACAGACCTGAAGTTGAACTGACCTCTCTATTTTACATCTACTTACCTCATTTACTCAAAACAACCTGGAAGTTGACCCTCCTCTATTTACATTACTTGTCTCATTTTACTCCAAAACAGACCTCTCTATTTACATCTACTTGTCTCATTACTCCAAAACAGACCTCTCTATTTACTCTACTTGTCTCATTTTCCAAACAGACTGAAGTTGAACCTGTACTTGTCTCATTTACTCCAAACAGACTCTCTTATTTACATCTTATTGTCTCATTTTACTCTCTCTTATTTACATCTACTTGTCTTCATTTTACTCCAAAACAGATCTCTCTATTTACCTCTACTTGCCTCATTTACTCCAAACAGACCTCTCTATTTACATCTACTTGCCTCATTACTTTCTCATTTACTCCAAACAGACCTCTCTATTTACATCTATCTACTGTCTCTTACATTACTCCAAACAGACCTCTCTATTTACATCTACTTGTCTCATTACTCCACACAGACCCACTCTATTTACATCTACTTGTCTCATTTTACTCCAAACAGACCTCTCTTATTACATTCTACTTGTCTCATTTACTCCAACAGACCTCTCTATTTACATCTACTTGTCTCATTTACTCCAAACAGACCTCTCTATTTACATCTACTTGTCTCATTTACTCCAAACAGACCTCTCTATTTACATCTACTTGTCTCATTTACTCCCAAACAGACCTCTCTATTTACACCTACTTGTCTGTCATTTACTCCAACACAGACCTCTCTTATTTACATCTACTTGTCTCATTTACTCACAAACAAGACTCTCTACTTTTACACTACTTGTCTCATTTACTCAAAACAGACCTCTCTATTTACATCTACTTTGTCTCATTACTCCAAACAGACCTCTCTATTTACATCTACTTGTCTCATTTTACTCCAAACAGACCTCTTCTATTTACATCTACTTGTCCTCATTTACTCCAACACCTCTCTATTTACACCTACTTGCCTCATTACTCCAAACAGATCTATTTACATCTACTTGTCTCATTACTACCTCTCTATTTTTACACCTACATTTACTGATCTCTCTACATTCTACTTGTCTCAAAACAGACCTCTCTATTTACAATCTACTGTCTCATTTACTCCAAACCAGACCTCTCATTTACACCTACATGTTCATTTACTCCAACAGGAACCTCTCTATTTACACTACTTGTCTCATTACTCCAAACAGACCTCTCATTTACATCTACTTGTCTCATTTACTTACAAACAGACCTCTCTATTTACCACCTACTTGTCTCATTACTCCAAACAGACCTCTCTCTATTTACATCTACTTGTTCATTTACTACAAAACAGACCTCTCTATTTACATCTACTTGTCTCATTTACTCCAAACAGACCTCTCTATTTACATCTACTTGTCTCATTTACTCCACACAGACCTCTCTATTTACATCTACTTGTCTCATTTACTCCAACACCAGACCTCTCTATTTACATTCTTACTTGTCTTCATTTACTCCAAACACAGACCTCTCTATTTACATCTACTTGTCTCATTTACTCCCACACAGACCTCTCTATTTACATCTTACTTGTCTCAATTTACTCCAAACAGACCTCTCTATTACACCTACTTGTCTCATTTACTGACCTCTCATTTACTCTCAAACACAGACCTCTCTATTACCATCTACTTGTCTACTTTCTCAAACCTAGCTATTTACTCTCTATTTACACCTACTTGTCTCATTTTACTCCAAACAGACCTCTCTATTACATCTACTTGTCTCATTTACTTCCACACAGACCTTCTCTATTTACATCTACTTGTTCCATTGAACTGACCTCTCTATTTTACTACTTGTCTCATTTACTCCAAAACAGACCTCTCTATTTACATCTACTTGTCCTCATTTTTACTCCACACCAGACCTGAAATTGAAACCGACCTCTCTATTTTACATCTACTTGCCTCATCCACTCCAAAACAGACCTCTCTATTTACAATCTACTTGCCTCATTTACTCCAAAACACAGACCTCTCTTTGACCTGTCTATTTATCAGTGAATCAATCCATCCTTTTACATCGACTTGGCCTCATTTTACTTCACACAGGCCGGAAGTCGAGCTCATCAGCGGAGGAGACATCTGGAGCGAGTTAGAACTGGACGACGTCAGACTCGCTCCGCAGATCGACAAGATTCTGAACGGATACCAGTGGGTGGGAACGATGCGACAGGTGAGAGAGGGAGAGAGGGAGAGGGAGGAGAGAGGGAGGAGGGAGAGAGGGAGAGAGGAGAGGAGGAGGGAGGGGAGGAGGAGGAGAGAGAGGGAGAGGAGGAGAGAGGGAGGAGAGGGAAGAGGGAGTGAGAGGAGGGAGGGAGAGAGAGAGAGGAGGAGAGAGAGAGGAGTGAGAAAGAGAGAGGAGAGTAGAGGAGAGAGGAGTTGAGAGAGAGAGAGAGTTGAGAGAGGAGAGAGTGAGAAGAGAGAGAGGAGTGGGAGAGAGAGAGGAGTGGGAGAGAGAGAGGAGTGAGAGAGAGAGAGGAGTGGGAGAGAGAGAGGAGTGGAGAGGGAGTGAGAGAGAGAGAGGAGAGAGAAGAGAGAGAAGAGAGAGTGAGAGGAGAGAGAGAGAGACGAGAGAGAGAGAGAGAGAGAGAGAGAGGAGAGAGACGGAGAGAGGAGTTGAGAGTGGGAGAGAGAGAAGAAGAGAAAGACGAGAGAGAGAGAGAGCAGAAGAGAGAGAGAGCGAGAGAGAGAGAGAGAAGAGAAGAGGAGAGAAAGAGAAGAGAGAGAGAGAGAGAGGAGAAGAGAGAAAGAGGGAGAGAGATGAGAAAATATAATTCATTCTATTCCAATACATATTCTTCAACATGTTAAAAGAGAAAACAAAAAAATGCCACTTCAACAAAATTTTCTAAATTTCTCCCCTCAGGCTGTGATAGGTATTATATATCATATATATATATATATATATATATAAATATATTATATAACTTTTTTTTCTTTCTTTCTTTTCTTATTTCTTTCCTTTTCTTCCTCGTTCTTCTTTTCTTCTCCCTTTTTCAACTTTCTTCATTATTTTCTTCCCTTTCCTTTTTTCTTTCTTCGCCCTTCTTTCTAATGAAAAAATGGAAAAAAAAAACATCTACCACAATCACGCTTTCCTCCCCATGTGTTTATATATATTTTTCTTCTTTCCATGTTTTTCTTCTTTTCTAAAAAAAAAAAAAAAAAAAAAAAAAAAAAAAAAAAAAAAAAAAAATCTACCACATTGACGCTTCCCCTCCTCCGCAGGTGTGATCCCGCACTGCCTCGCCATCCTCAAGCTCTGCCACCAGATGACCGAGCGCCTCGTGGCCACCACCATGACACCCATTCACAAGGATAAACTCCACGATATCATTGAGGTGAGAGGGAGGGATGGGAGGGGGAGGGGAGGGAGGGGAGGGGAGGAAAGGGCGAAGAGGGGGGAAAAAAGAGGTGGAGAGAGGTATATATAGGAGGAGGGGGGGGGAAGGGTGAGGGAGGGATGGGGGGAAAGTGAGGAGGATGGGGGATGGGGTTGTTGGTGAAGGGGGAGGGAGGAAGGGAGGGAATGTGAGGAGAGAGGAAGGAAGGGGTGATGAGGAGGGAGAGGAAGTGGTAAACATACTAACAGCGTGGCAAATAAATAAACACACGAGAATTAGCCATATAACTGAACAAAAAAAACGAAAAAAACTAAACACGTCAAATGCAATAAAATAAAAAAATGCACAAAGGACAAGACAAAAACAGCTCGAAAGAGGGCCAAAAAAACCATAACAAAAAAAAAGAAGAAGAAAAGCAGTGAAGTGGAAATGAAGACGTCCACAACCAAACTCAACCGAGTACAAAAGATGTTCCAAAAGAACAAATCAAAACATATTTACAACTCAATAAGCACATAATCTACACAAAAGACAAATAAAAAAAAGATTTAAAACATTGAGAGATTCATGAAACAAAAACAAAAAGAATCAAAGAGAAAAATAAATAGAAAGAAACCAAACACGTAATAAACAAAAGAAAATAAAAAATAAAAGATAGAACCCTAATACGACGAAATAGATAAAAAAAATGGTGGAACGGGAGAAGAAAAGAAATGGGAAACAAAAAACATGAAGCAAAAAAGAAAATATCGCTCCGAACAAAGAAGAGAACGTGGAGAAAGCCGTAGGGAAAGGAGAAGAAGGGTAGAGAGAGAGAGGAGGGAGGAAGAAGGGTTGGGAGGAGGGAGGGAGGGAGAGGGGGATATGAAAGAGATCTATGCTAATGAGAGATAAAGAAGAATGGGAACTTTTAAAACTTTTTACTCTATTAGTCCAGCTGTAAGAAATGTTAAATGGCTTTCCTTAGACCGTAAGTGATTTAATTTAATTCTTCCTACTTGTGTGTGTATGTGTGTATGTGTGTGTGTGTGTGTGTGTGTGTGTGTGTGTGTGTGTGTGTGTGTGTGTGTGTGTGTGTGTGTGTGTGTGTGTGTGTGTGTGTGTGTGCGTGTGTGTGTACATACGTACATACGCGTATCTGAATCTATTAATAAAAAAACACACCAAACACCAATCAAAACGCCGCACATAAAACACAAACACACCATCAAACCCCTCCATGAAAAAACAACAAACAAACAAACTAAATCTTACTATTTCCCCATTAAACAAAAAATCTTACCTTTTCCCTCACTCCTCCATTAAAAAAATTATCCATTTCCCCCATTAAACAAAAAAAATCTTACCTTTTCCCTCAATCCTCCATAAAAAAAACATTTCCCCCATTAAACAAACAAACAAACAAAAAATTATTCCCCTCACTCCTCATTAAAAAAAAAATCCCCCATTAAAGAAAGCAAAAAAATCTTACCTTTTCCCTCACTCCATTAAAACTAACTTCCCCATTTCCCCTCTCTTTCCCCTCAGGTCACCCGCCGCCTCTCCCCTCGGATCGACGACGTAGCCCGGGCCATGTACCCGCCCTTGGATCCCCGCCTCCTGGAAGCGAGGTGTTCCGCCCTCATCCTCACCCTCACCCTCCTGGCCTGGCACGCTCGCTACCTCACCTCGAACACGACGGTGACACTCATTAATGAGGCCCTGGGCGACATGGATCGACATCTTTCGGTAAGGATTGGGTGAGGGGAATGAGGAGGGGGGAGGGAGGGGAAGGGGATGGGAAAGGGTAGGGGAGGGAGGGAGGGAGGGGAAAGGTAGGGATGGGGGAGGAGGAGGAGGAGGAGGAGGGGAAAGGTAGGGGAATGATGGGAAGGGGGAAGGGAGGGGAAGAAAGGGGGAAGGATGGGGAGGGGAGAGGGAAGGTGACACTCATTAATGAGGCCCTGGGCGACATGGATCGCCATCTTTCGGTAAGGTTTGGTAAGGGGAATGAGCAGGGGGATGGAGGGAGGAAGGGGAAGGGGGAGGAGTGGGATGGGAATGAGGAGGAGGAGGATGGGGGGGGAAGGGAGTGGGATGGAGGAGTGGGATGGGAGAGGGAAGGGGGACACTCATCAATGAAGCCCTTAGCGATATGGATCATCATCTTTCGGTTAGGCTTGGTTAGTGGGTGAGTGGGAGGGGAAGGGGAAAGGGGAGGGGAAGTAGGAGGAAAGAGTAATATAACGTCACTTTTGGGTCTACTGAGAACGGGGGAGTGTGAAAATGGTAGGCTGAGGAAGGAGATAACAGAAAACGGTAGCAAATGAGCATGCACTAAAATAATTTTCGATGCTGACAAATCCCGTCGATTTGCACATTGGACCGATTTTACAGACGATGATTAATTATCAGCCAACATTTGCAGGTAGGCTTATATATCGCATATGTTCCTCGGGCTCAATATTATATATCCTCATGCTGCAGTTTGGGTACGCTAAAACAAAGAAGTAAAATGAACAAAGAATACAAGTCACATGCTAAAATCCAAATGCCTTCGACGAATCTATAATAAAGCAACAAATCATACAACTATCACAACACACTTATATGGCCATTGAACATATCTTACCATTAACTTTCATGCACGCGTGTGGACATGCACGTAGCACAAATGCACTTAGACAAAGAACCATTACAGGGCCTTCTAGTGTTCGTTTTAAAGGGATCCGATTACAGAAACAGCGTAAACCAATACGTATTGTTAGCAGACGTGTTCGAAACGTGATTCTAGGCATATGTTTTGTGAACGTTTTTGTTCATTGGGGTAAAAATATGACATTGAGGACAAAGGTAGTGTTTTTTACGATCTTTGGGAATAACATTATTTTTGTAAATATGATCTTCATTATTATTATAACCGCTATCATCACCACCATCATCCTCATCACCTACATCATCACCATCGTCATCGTCGTCACCATCATCACCATCATCATCACATAATCATCACTTATCACCATCGTCAGCGTCGTCTGTTTTGTTCATGTTCATGTTCATGTTCATCATCATCTTCATCATCATCATTCAATGATTTGTAATACTAATACTACTATTACTGTTATATTTGAATCTATTTCAATTGACAAAAACGAAACTGCATGTTTTGATTACATTACATACTTGTTTATCAATAAATGAAAATTTAAAAAAGCAGTTATTGACATAGCATTACACATGCTCAAAAGTTCTGTATGTAAGAATTAAGTGAAAATAACATAATTAAATATGATTAAAATACCATGCAGTGTAAGTAGTGCATGTTCATTACACTTTGTAGCAGAGTAATTAAATACAGTAATTAAACTCCTTAACCAGAATTCCAAACAATATTATGCAACAGAATGATATAGTTTAAGAAATTGCTTCCCTATCATGCAAAATAGTTAATAAATTCTTCCATTCCATTCTTCAAGAATGCCATCAGGACAAGCACTATTATGCAGTGTATTTAACCCAAAACGTCAGCAGAATATCACGCAATACCAAACAATGTAATAGCATTCATTAATATTTTCTAATGTTATATGTAACATACTTAACGAGCCCTTACCTTCCTTCAACAGGTGTTGCGCGAGGCAGCTATGGCACATGAAACTTTCCACGGCTGCTTTACGGAAGATGCAACATGCGACACTGCGGAATGCTGAAAAGAAGGATACTATCATGCAACAAGAGTGTCTTTATTAATGTGCATTGAAGTTTGCATATTGCAGTATATGTAACTTTTTACCATACATGAGGTAGCTATTATTTTACCATGCAGTTGCAGTATTTAACATGCATAAAGTAGCTATTTACCATGTATGAAGTTACTATTGACCATGTCTGAAGTTAACTTTTGCCATGCATATAGTAGCCGTCTACCATGATGGAAATAAGGGTTTACCATGCCCGAAACAGCTATCTACATGCACGCGTTAACTATTTGCCATGTCTGAAGTACTACCATGTATGAAGTACCTAATTACCATGTCCAATGTAGTTATTATCATGCATAAATTAGCTATGTATTTAACATGTCCTACCACAAAAATAACCTAATGTAATAATGTTTAATGTCTTATTAAGTGATATTTTGTTACCTTTGGTGCACTGGATAAACTTTTTAATTTATCACAGAGCACTAGAGTAATCCCAAGTATATACAGATTATATACAATATATAGAAGGTATAATACTTGGTCATAGTTTCCTCCTAATAAAAAAGGAAGAGAAAATGGACCATCTCAAATTCTCAATAACGATATTCTAAATTGTATAAAAAGGATGACAAAGATTCCTCCTTTGCCCCCAAAGTAGGTGCGAAAATATGATGTGATCTTTACGAGTCATAAACCAAAGCTATGAAAAGTACAGAATTTTTTTATAATGCATATTGATCTCCTTTTAAATTACTAATTTACAAATAGCTTCTTTTGATTAGATATGTATTTGATACTAGAATGAGGTTGTATAATGAGGTTGTATAATGATGTGAGGATTGAATTCTTTAATATATTAATTTGATATTACTTTTATTGTTAACTGTTCATGTGGTATATTTACTATTGAATAAGGGACTAGAGAGTTTGTGTATATATATTTAAATTTTATAGATCTATATTTGTAATCTTAAACTTACCTTACAAACAAGTACATGTACAACAGCACAAAGACATACAAAAATACAGAAACACACACACACACTTAACCTTATATACATACAGACAGACAAGGAAGTATTCCACTAATTTATCAGTTACAAGATACTAACCCCAGCTTTTCATGTTCACTTATGAAGCTTAACTTATTTTAAAAAGCCAAGGCATTTCAGGCATTTACAGCCTTTTATTATGGCCACAAGGATATATAATCTTTGATAAAAAAATCCTTTAAAGACAATACTGAACTGTAGGCTTTGCAAACAATAACAGTTTCATGGAAGAACTAAATAATAAAAAGCAATGCATAAGTGTATCCAGTACTAGCCATTTTTTTTCTTAAGTTTATCACCAATACAATAGGTGTTAACGGAGTATGAAATACTCAACATAATTGAAATGAGAGTATCTCTTTTTATAATATTTTCCAGGCTTGTTGTGTAGTATGCAAGTCTTTTGTAAATAAATCTTTTTTCAAAGGATGCCAAGATTTTTTTGTGTTCCTTACATTTTACTAGAAAAGTAATTTTGAACTCTAAATTTTTATTTATTTATTGAAAAAATTCTGCCATGTCATCTAAGGTCATTATGTGTATTCAAAATATAACAATGCACCTAAGGTCATACAGCACTATGATAAATTAATATGGTGAAAAAGATAACCATGAATTAATGATTAGGACAAAATATGTTGAATGTCAAAGGTTGTAGAACAATAGGTTAGTATAGCAGTGAAAAGGGTAAAAAGGGAAAAGGAAATAGAGTATGAAAGTCGTTCAGGACTGACACAAAGCCAGCCTTTCATCCTTTCAGCATGGCTCTCACACTTCAGAATGTGAACGGGAGGGATGAAGAAGGAAAAGGAGAGGCCGAGAAAGACCATTCAAAATTAGTTGAGGCGAAGTCTGAGGTCCATGGTAGGGGTAATTCCCTACCTTGGGACTCCATCTCCTAAGCCTCCCAACAACAACGCGCTAGGGATTGGGGGGGTGAACAGTGAATGCTACTGCATGTATTGCTGGGAAGGCTATTACGTTCCCTAACAGAATATTAATACTTTTTGATGGCTCTATAACTTATTACTTGTTATTAAGATTATAGTTACTGTATTTACAATGATTCTGCATCTGAGATATTAGATACTGGGAAAAGCCTAAAACTGATTTAACCCAATGCTGATGGGAAAATGTTGCGTTCACTTTGGTGTTGTTTTGTTAAATGTTTCTGTACATAGATGACAAAGGAGTCAATTAGATCTTGTGACTTGACCTTTCCTTGAAATAGCAGGAAAACATCTTTTTTAACTGATGCTACCAATATTGGCACTGTTATTTTTGTTATAGATGTTATAATTACTATATTAACATTATAGTATTGAATACTAGAAAATATCATAAAAAATCAAGGAAAAGGGTAAACAGGTGAGACAGGTAGTTCTTGTAACTGGCTCATTGGTAAGTACTTGTGGTGCCATCTATATGTAAAAGCAATTACTAAATTAAACCCACAGTGGGCATGGCATGTACGCACATGCCATCCCCGGCAGCATGTGGTTAAAAAAGGTAACTTGCTTGTTTGCCAGAGACAGAGAGAGAAAAAATTATGTAATCATCTTTATTGTTTTATACAACAAATGCATTACAATTACATCTGATGCATTCAAACGTACTTTCAAGTCTTCTAATAATAATAGATAAGACAACAGGATGTAAAACAATATAAAAAAAAGAGGGATAACGTAATTCTTGGAACATGTGAGATTACTTTCTCAGAAATTCTGGACAGAGGAGAGGCAGCGGTCGGTGAAGAAATGGTGTCTCTTTTTGACAGGGGGAGGTGCCTTGTACACCTCACCTGACTGTTTTTTGGACAGA